GCGCGCAGGGCGGCGGCGCACTCTGCACCATGGCGTACCCCGGACACCCTGGTGCCGGTGGCGGGTACTACCCAGGTGGGGTAAGTGCTGCCTTCGCTGACCCCCAGCTGGGGCGCGACCCTTGGACACCGCGGACGCCGAGAGACTACACTTGGCGACTCCGCTGGGTTGCTCCCCAGGCGCCTCCTGTCCCCACCTTCTCCCTGTGGCTGCCTCGCCCCAGGCCCCAGCCATTCAGCCTTTCTCTGGCTCCCTCCTTCTCTCTGTCCCTTCTGTCTCCCCACGGGTGGCTGCGCGGGGTCCAGGTGCGGGTGGATTGCGACCCTAGAAGCCCACCCTGTGACTCCCGGATACGCGGCATGAGAGCGTACAAATTGGGTGTTGGCTTCCCTTCGGTGTTTCCCATTACAGCAAGAGCCATTTTAATCTAGAATGGTCCCAGAGATCCACCTCTCCCTTTAAAAGAAAAGGAAAAAAAGGTCAGGGAGAGACCGCCAGAGTAAAAGTCCCCCGGGAAGAAGGACCCCCCCTTGCCCAGCGTCTGGGATGCGCGTTGTCGTGGGAACTGTTTCCAGGAAGAATATTCCCTCGCGGCAGAGTAGCCAGGCGGAAACACCCTTTACCCACCCTGACTACACCTGTCTCAAAACTTTTGAAAATACCATAAACGCTATAAAAAAATTTAAGCCCTACTCTTAAATTGCTTGCCTAGGTTGCGTTTAGCTCAGTAACCTGGGTTTTTTAAGCTGCTTCACATACGCAGCTGTCAATGTCAAGACAATTCATTTTGGTCCAAGCCGCCAATTTTTAAATTTGTAGTGGGAATGGAAGGAAGGGATGATGTGATTGCAGTTAGAGTGTGCGTGGTGGTGGGGAGGTAAATGAAATGAAGGTCAGGCAATTGTCTGGCTTTGCACAATGACACTCAGTGACGAAAGAAGAAAACTTGGTTCAGTGGAATGATGCTGAATTTGTGCTTCCTATTTTACAGTATGGAGGGGCTCCCGGAGGGCCTGCGTTTCCCGGACAAACTCAGGATCCGCTGTATGGTTACTTTGCTGCAGTAGCTGGACAGGTTAGCTTTTCCCTTTAATATTAAAGAATGGTCAGAGTCTATATTTCTATTGGCCTTTGTTAAAGTGGCACAGAAAAACGACCTTTCCTCTGGAAAATAATCCCTTCTGCAAAAGAAAAAGAAGGAAATTTATAGTCAGTTATTTATTTCTGAATATTCAGAGCAAATTAGGACAAAGTGTTGCTGGTGTTTATGTTACTTAAATTCAGAATTAAACTTGTGATTGAATTAGGGTCATAATGGACAGAATATTAATATGCTTTAAGGTCTTTGAGGTAGAAAGATGTCTTCAGAACTGTGAATTGTCAAGGTCTAGGGTGGTTTCCAGAGGAAATTCCATATCTGGTAAACATAAACCCCTGTTCATACAACTTAAAGGCATGTGCTGGTAATTCCGTAGCCAGATTCTAATGGACACTTTCTTTGGGTTGAATTTGACTGTTAATCAGTCACCCCTTAGGAAATAGATGTTTATGGTAAAAACCCACCAGCTTCAAAATAAAGTTACTACGCTCTTCTTACTATCAAGAAGTTAATCTTGTGAACAGTTTCACTTTGATGCAGATGCTGTTACTAGGTCAGCTCTTCTGTGTCCTTATTAGATTTTGTGGCCTGTTGTCTCAAAGAGAGGATTAAGGACTGCTACCCAAGACCTTTCAGTTCTCTACGTTCTGAGTTGTATGACACGTGCAGGTGTACATTGAGGGAGGGCACGTCCCTAGCTCACAAAGTCACTATATATGGTAAATATGCTGTTGATATAAACTCTGATGTGTCCAAAGGGAATGTTTGCTCATATGGATTCAACTTAGCTTTGTTTTGATCAAAAGCTAGAAGTAACACAATCTCAATGTGAAAATGCTACAGAATGTTTTGGGATAAAAACCGAAGACCACATTTTAGAATAGCACTCTAAGAAATACAGTTTGAGAAATTGAGTGGAAAATTGAGTCTAAAACTGAAAGAGCTTCCCTTGAAGTATCTGCTTAATCTGTTAATGATCTGTATCTTTGAAACCACAAGATACAGCAAAGCTCAAGACTCATTCTTAGATTGCTTGTGCCTCCAGCCCTGTAAGTGACCCCAGCTGCTTAGCTTTCAGCAGCCCTGGCCCATATCAGCATATCCATCATCTTTCAAATTGTTGATCCTGCTCTTTATTTCTAACTTATAATACCCTTAGACTTAAGGATTTAGATATTTCATTTTAAAATCTCTAAACATAACATGTATCTAGTTCTGACTTAGAATAGGCATTGGGAACCTCTGTTTTCCATATATATAGTGGTCTGAAAAAACTATTCACCACATCATAAGCAAAGGTGATCACAAAGGTCTATCTCTGTTTGAACCAAGCTTTTTATTTACTGATATCAGTTGTGTACCCACCTCGTCCCTCCCACCCCCAAAAAGCTAGAAAGATTGTAAACAACTGTAAATTATTTTAAAATGTTTAACTTTGGCAATTTCTTAGTTCAGAGTAAGAGAAGACAAAGACAGAAATTATTTTTATTCATTAAAAAAATATGTATCCATGGAAGAAACTGAATTCACGTTCGTGTCTTCTTAAAAGAGGAACCTTATGCTTGAGAAAGTTTATGCCAAATTAATTCAGAAATTTAGAAGAAATGATGAAAAAATATTGGTAATACTAAAGTATAGGTGTAAGTAGCTTTCTGACTGTTAATTCTTATGATTATTTCAAAGTGTGTGAAATTGTCCACTTAGATATTAAGAAATATTTTTTGTTTATGGCCTCAATTATCCATTTGTGGAAGAGGATGTGACAATTTATCTTTCTTTCATTATGAAATTATTTTTGGAAGTAGGATGAGGAAAAAAAATGCCTATTTGGGGAAGGTATTCCTTTAAAAAAAAGTCATGCATGCTAATAATCATTTTCTTGGTTATTATGCTACCCTGAATACTGAAAATAAAAAAGGAACGAGAAAGTACAAGTTACTATTATGATTCCTCTTCCTTTTTTTTTTCCCAAAAGGATGGGCAAATAGATGCTGATGAATTGCAGAGATGCCTGACACAGTCGGGCATTGCTGGAGGATACAAACGTAAGTTGACAGTCCCAGAGTTTCTCTAGTACTCTTGAATTTTCTAGTTGAGCTGTTACTTGTGATTACAGATTTCACGGAAACTGAGCTTTTCTGATCCAGCAACATTTAGAATTTCAAAAACTAAATTCGGTTTATTATTTCAAAATGTGAATTTGAAAACAGTTCTTAATAAGTCATTCTTTTAGTGGGTTTCTTAGATTTGGGTTCCATGTGTCCGGAACCCTTCGAAGCAGAGATAGTTGCTGGGGCCTCCTTAACGTAGGATGAGTTAAGGTGCTGAGGTGAAACGTCCCGGTCAGGTATCATTAATGATAGGAATGTCAGTGAAAGAATGTCCAATCTATAGAAAAGTCTTCTAAGAGTTTATTTGAGCCAGAATTTTGAGGACATGCCCAGAAGCAAAATCTCAACAGATTGAGAAAATCTCCAGAGAACAGCAATTTTGCAGTCCTTTTATGTATTTTGAATCAAAGGAGAAAACGTAAGGAAGATACATGAAATCCATTGGTGGTAGATTAAGGGGGCGAGAGAAAGCAAAGCAGGGAGATCGCTAGGATTGGATAAAAGACAAAATGGAGAAAAACATACTTCTTTTACATTAGTGGGTATGGGATAGTTAATTAACATTTACAGGCCGTAGAGATGGTATGCAGGGAACAAGACAACGGTGAGGGGTTCTGTGGTCTCATGCACTAATCTTATGCTCTGGTGCCTATGGTTGTGCCTTGGAGGAGTCTGGGAAGAAAATTACTCTGACATTTCAAAGATATGCTATTCTAGATGCATAATAACAATGGACAGGGCTCACATAAGGTAAAGATTGACCTTTACTAAGGAAGATACAGCCTTGGGACAGGACTATCCGCCATGGCCTGTCTGGTTAGGAATTTATGATGAGACCGTTCTGGAGTGGTTACTTTTGGTCACTGAGCTTGTCAGGCTTGCCATGTGGCCCTTCAATAGCTTGTGAGGTTTATTAAATAGCCCCTTTTTCATTCACAATAACTAACGTTTACTGCTGTTTGCCAGGACCCTACTTTGTCCCGAGCCTGGTGGCACTTAGTGCTTTGAGTGGCTAGCCCTGTGCTCTTGGTCCTGAGTGTCCTGGCCCGCACTCCTAATTCTGAATGGCTAGTCCTGTCCCCCACCCCTAGACCTCAAGGAGCCAGTTCTGCACTCCTGATCTCTAAGCATCTGCTGGCAACATGAATGCTTGCCATGACATCCCCCAGGTCTTTCCTCTTTCCACAAAAGAGAATATTTGGGTTAAATAGGATAGGCCCTTCCTAATTTCTAAACTCTTTATTTACACTAGCCCCCCCACACACATACCCCTTAGTCCCTCACAGACTGGATCTGCTGCCTTGTAATTCAGCACCTACACCACCTTCCTGCCTTTTGAGCTCTCTGCCACGAGCTACAGATAGGGGACCAGTGAATAGATGCCGTATCCTGACAGGGCTTCTCATCTCTCTCCTTCCCTCCCTCCCTCCCTCCCTCCCTCCCTCTCTCCATCTCTCTCTCTCTTTCGGGTGTACTTACACAGGCATACATTATTACACTTACATTTCTGTCATTCAAAAAATCCCCCAATGGTCCTAATATTGATACGGTACATCAGTTTTAAAATTCTGCAACTTACAGCGGGAAATGATACGGGACATCTCTTGCAGTCAAATCAGATATTGACCAAACTGAATTAAAACGCTCAAACTAAAATTCACTTTTGAGGATTTATTGTGGCATTTTTTGACTGTCTGGCATAGTTACTAGCTCTCTTTTTAAACTAGCTCTCTTTTAAAACTCTGGTCTAAAAAAAGAAGCACTTTCTAGATAGGGGTTTTTTTTATTATTGTAGGCAGTACACTTAAATTGTTAATTGTTAACCTCAAGCAGTTGGGGCTAGTGAACAAAGAAGGTCTCAGAGCAGGGTTTACAAAAGTGAGCTATGTCACAACATACACTGTTT